ACTTTTAACCCTTTTAATTCCACTTTTAAATAGGAAATCACTCCAAAGCAAAAGCAAAGTCCCACCGAATCCACTATGAGTCGATTCCAGCTCAGTAACTATGACACAGGGTCGAACTGCCCTTCTGGGTTCCCAAGTCTATAAATCTTTACTGCAACAGACTGCCCCATCTAAATTATTCAAACTCCAAATCAAACTCGATACCATCTAGTCGTTTCTGATTCATAGCAACCTTGTAGGGCAGAGTAGAACTATTCCAGTGGGTTTCTGAGGCTGTCCATCTTTCCTGGGGCAGAAAACCTCGTTCTGTAAAGCTGCTGGTGGTTTCCAACTGCTGAACTTGTGCTTGGCAGCCCAACTCCACTATACCTGCATTCCTACGGGAGGTCTTGAGAAGCTATCCATTATCTAACTCAGTTTGCACTGATGGATTAGCTTGAATGAGCAATTATATTCCTCCATTGGCTTACCAGGTATAAATAAGCACTTTAAGACTATGGGTTTAATCCTTAATCCTAGGTGAAAAAAGATTGAGCAGTGTAAAATCTCACTAATAGAGAATACTGGCACAGACAGGAAGTCACCGCTACGGAGTCAATTCTGCCTCATTGACCTTATAGGGCAGAGTAAAACTGCCCCTACAGGTTTCCAAGACTGTTAGTCTTCATGACCCTTTCTCCTGAACCGCTGTTGGTGGGTTTGAACTGCTGACCTTGCAGTTAGCAGTTCAAGGCACACTCCACTCTGCCACCAAGACTACCTTATAACAATTGCTATAAAATTACAAATAATGCCTAGATAATTTTGAAGTGCTTGATCAGGTTGTTTTACAGCGTTGTTTTCTTAGGATCATTGTTCAAATTAAACATAGCAAATCGTTTTACAGTTGTAAGCCAGTCAGAGGGTGTACTGAAAACAAAAACTGAAGTTTAGCTCCAGGTTGTCCACGGAACAAGCAAGCTCCAATCCTGTGTGGCTTATGAGGGGCCAAAGATAAGCTGCACTCACACACGCACATGCACACAGCAGCGAAGAGGTAAGCCAGTTTTGATTTTTAATAAATCATTTTATTGATGGCTCTTATAACAATCCATACCTCAATTGTATCAAGCACATTTGTATATACATTGCCATCGTTTTTAAAACATTTTCTTTCTACTTAAGCCCTTGCTATCAGTCGTTTTATGAAAGCACAGGATCACTTTAAAATAAATGAAGTGGGAAAAAATAAAAATGAATGAAGCGGGTTATTATCGAGAGGTGAGGACACCTTGGGCACAGATGCTCCAGAGGGATGCAGGTCCTCCCCTCATGAACTGAGATGAACTTTGTCTAGGGGAAACCTTCTAGTGTCTCAATGATACTTCAAAAGGGAGGGACTGCCACCCTGCAGATGGTAAAGCAACTTTCTAATTAGTGACTCGGTCCATCCTTGGGTTTCCTTTCTCTCAGGTTTGTCTCAGCTCCAGCTCTGCTCCCGGTCAGCATGTTTTCAGACTGAGCTCCAGCCATGTCCTGTGTCAGAATATTTACCTCAGCCTGGCTTCAAGGTTAAGATGTTTACCAAGCCTATTCTCACACGGTCTTTTGTTTAAATCTTGTTTTCATAAGGTCCTCTGCCTATTTTCTTAGCTGGCAGGACAGAAACCCTTGTTCTGACCTTATCAAAAACAACAGTGCTCTGAGTGGACTCTGACTCAGAAACTCTACAGGACAGAGTGTAACTGCCACCAATAGACTAAGTCTATGGGAGTAGAAAGTCTCATCTTGCTGTTGAGTGGTGGGTGGTTTTGATGTATAACCACTAAGCCACCAAAACTAATGTCAAT